TGAAACCCAAAAGGTGGAGAGTATCTGATACAGGGACCCCTAAGCTGCTTTTGGTTTACTTACTTTCTGAATGACTGTAATAAAACAAGCAGAGTCTGTCCCAAAGGCTCAACTTCTGGTCCATATACCTGTTCTGAGCTGGATTTTAAAAAAAGTATGAAAGATATTGGATCAAATATGACAGCCAAGGATGGAAGTAGTAAGGAAGATTAGTAATGGCAGTCTTGGTATTTTCTGAGTACTTCGATTCCTTTAGTTTAGCTTAAAGCTGAAGTTTAGGCAGGAATATTTTTGCATAGTTACAATAATCCATGAGCCTGTATCTTGTCAATCAGTACCTGGCCACACCTAGTCCTGCCCACTGCTTTCTGCACTGACAGCACTGCAGTGTCTGGGAGGGGGAACGCGTGAGACACAAATGGAGGATGTGGCTCAGTCAGGGATGGTAGGAAGGAAGTTTTTTGATCTATGTTTATTAGTCTTGTGCATCACAAAGTAATTGGATCTGCGATCGCTTAGATTCCATACATGAGCCTTTAGTTGTATAGTTGTTTAGCGCACTAGTCAAGGATTCTAGCACACTTTATTGCACTGTTCTTCTTCATGCGCTTTCTGTTTAGACTTATACAAGACTTCCAACAACTCTCCGTTTCCTGCAGTCACTTCCCAATTTCTGAGTGTTCAGTTTGATGGCTAGCCTACATTAGTCACATGATCAGTCCTAGAACCATAATGACAGAAAAACTGGAAGGATAAAGCGAATATGAACAGAAAGTGTACAGCACACCATCTTCCCCCCCCCCCCCCAAGTCATATTTTAATTTATTTGGCACTTTACAAAACAATAGCTAGCTGCAGAATGAAATAGAAAGGTCATTTTAATTTAGACCCATTCAGACCTATCTGGTCTGGTGTGTTAAGTTGCATGTTAACATGCTTTAAAACAGACCATTAATTTAGATGGTTGAAAATGCGCCACATCGGACCAGAAAATGCACCTGCAGCACACCACAATGCATGGTAGTGCATTTCTGTGAATTGCATGGTGTGTTAATTGCAGATTCATTTATTTTTGAATGGCACATCAACACATTCATGGCTAGCCTGCATTAGAAAAAGCCTCAATTACAAAAAGTAAAATTATATGGTAATATGGTAATATTTGTTACCCTTAAAGTGGAACTTTACCCATAACAACTTGATTAAAAAATAATGTTCTTTAGCAAGGAGCATACATTCCACATTAATAATTATGCAACCAAAAGGAGTGTTTGGTTTAGAAAATTGTCTCTAGCATTGTTCTAGTTTCTTCTTGCTGGGTGCTGCCATTTTTATGAAGCCCTTGGGCAGCAGTAAATCTTTAGGCGGTCAGCAGATATTCGGCACAGTGACAAAAAATAGAGAGCAACTGAGCATGTGCAGAGCAGGGTGAGAGTGTATTACTGGATTTTAAACAGTATAGGCACTTATTTTTGTTTTGCATAACTATATATTTCATGCTTTGCTGGGTTTGTTTGCCTTCCTCTGGATCAACTGTGGGTATAGGATTATAACTTTTTTTTTTTTTTTAATGGTTGAACTGGATAGACTTTTGTCTTTTTTTCAGCCAAACTAACTACAGTATGTAACTATACCTGCAAACTGGCAACACCATGGCAACAGTTTTATAGGTTTAAAGGCACACTATTATAATATTGCCTACTCCTTTTTAACGGAAGATTAGACACTGAGCATTTTTCATATGGCAACTGATAAAGCTGCTAAACCAGATGCAAAATCTTTGTGTCACACATTGCAAACTGTATATGAACAATTTTCTTTAAAACATACATCTAAGTGATTAATTCATAAATATTCACAATTAAAAAAAAATCTATGAAAACAAAATTAGTGCAATCTTTTATTTCTAGATGGCAGTGACCCTTGGGTGGCTGTCCTTTTCTCATTTGATTCAATATTGGGTCAACATCTTAAAATGTCACAAAACCTATAGCAAACAAACAACGTATGAAGTACACTGTAATGTTATGTACAAAATATGCAGCTATGAGTCAGCAGTGGCAATAGGCACATATTTGAGGAAAAATAGTAAATGACAATATTTACCAAATATATCAAATATTTGAGAATCCTGGTTAGAAGCACAAAGGGAGGTATATACTCACCAGACACTATTAGGTACACCTGTTAAATTGCTTGTAAACAAAAATTGCTAATCAGCCAATCACATGGCAGCAACTCAATGCATTTAGGCATCTAGACGTGGTGAAGAGGACTTGCTGAAGTTCAAACCGAGCATCAGAATGGGGAAGAAAGTGACTTTGAATGTGGCATGGTTGTTGGTGCCAGACGGGCTGGTCTGAATATTTCAAAAACTGCTGATCTACTGGAATTTTCACGCACAATCATCTCAAGGGTTTACAGAGAATGGTCCAAAAAAGAGAAAATATGCAGTGAGCGGCAGTTGTGTGGACGAAAATGCCTGGTTGAGGACAGAGGAAAAAAATGGGCAGACTGGTTCGAGATGATAGAAAGGAAACAGTAACTCATGTCAATATGGACCAAAATCTCTGAGGAATGTTTCCAACACCTTGTTGAATCTATGCCATGAAGAATTAAGGCAGTTCTGAAGGCAAAAGGGGATCTAACCCAGGACTAAAAAGGTGTACCTAATAAAGTGGCCGGTGAGTGTATAATCTTATGGGAAGATGGCTTTCTCTTTAAGATTACAGACTCCAAAATGGATGCAACAACCCCACCAAATTATCGTCACCAATCAGTTTTTTTAAATTCATGTTTACAACTCCATAAAAATAAAGATCCCTTTGAATACTGACTTTAGTTTCTGATTCTTCCTGAGCAGTAACGATAGTTTGAATGTGGCATGATTGTTGGTGCCAGATGAACTGGTCTGAGTAGATAAACTGCTGATCTACTGGGATTTTCACGCACAACCATCTCTAGGATTTACAGAGAGTGGTCCAAAAAAGAGAAAATATCCAGCGAGCGGCAGTTGTGTGGACGAAAATGCATTGTTGATGTCAGAGGAGATTGGGCAGACTGGATCGAGATGATAGAAAGGCAACAGTAACTCAAATAACCACTCCTTACAACCAAAATATGCAGAATACCATCTCTGATCGCACAACACGCACAACCTTGAAGTAGATGGGCTACAGCAGCAGAAAACCACACTGGGTGCCACTCCTGTCAGCTAAGAACAGGAAATGGAGGCTACAATTTGCACAGGCCCACCAAAATTGGACAACAGAAGATTGGAAAAAACATTGCCTGGTCTGATGAGTCTCGATTTCCCTAGAGATGGTTGTGTGGTAAAATCCCAGTAGATCAGCAGTTTTTGAAATACTGATACTGCATCTTAACAGCAACGTATTAAGATTTCTTCCCAGAGTTCTTGTTTAATAAAATGTGTAAAGAGGGAGAGAGAGAAAAAAGGATGATCTCATCTGTGAATCTATGAAGATAATACAATGGAACTTTGGCATCACTGGTCTACTTCTGATGCATCCTCTAAAACCTTCCCGTCATGGACAAATCTCAGGCTATTCTGGCAGACAAAATTTTGCAAGTACTGAGAGTGATAAAGAATGCCCTCACCTTCCTGTCTCCTGTACATTCTTAATGGCCAGTGAGTTCATTTTAGTAATTTGTACAGATGGGCCTTTGTTGCAAACCACTATTCAGAATTTTGCTGGTCAGATTGCCTGAAATTCAGTCATGCCAGGAAGGTCTGGAAGACTGCTGCACATACAGTATGTACAAGCATCTTTAGGGGCCTTTGCATTACACCTGCAGCAGTTTTAACCCCTTTCCCTCTAGTCTCTTTACTTCACACAGTTCGCTTTAGACATTGATCACTGGAATCCAATTACAACTGGACAGATAATTCAGCCCTTAGATTTATTAGCCAATCAAATAACACTTCTTAAAAATCTATACTTTACAATATTACTACAATAAAGATAGATGACAGAAGTGGCTGAAAATAGGAAAAACATTCTGCATGTCCTAAGCACAGCTATGACTGTCATCAGTTTTACCTTCTAGTCATGCAATTCCAAACATTCAAGTCATGAGCACACAATAGACTTTCTGAAAGAATTACTAGCAATATTCATACTTTTGTTTTTGGCTGTAGCTGGAAATTAAAACAGGTTATGCTTGAGACAGCAGTCTTACCAGCCACATTTGGCACTGCTCAAAAGGTTATTCCTTTTGTCAGAAAAATATTCGCTAAAGCCATACCACAGTTCCAGCTGTGTGGCATTAGAGAAGAGTATAAAGGCACTATAGGAAAGGCTTCATAAAGAATTATAAGGCAACATTCTGTTAAAGTGGTTTTTCCCTTTTAGTTTTTCACTCCCTACAATAATCATTACGGATTTATTAAACAAGGGTAACCCATATGGAGATGCCAATCCAATGTCTGATTTAGATTTAACACAGGTTATTGCATACATTACTCAGAAATGTGTACATCATAATTATTAGTGGTAAGGCCATATGAATAATAAACATATACAAGGACGAATAATAAAAAAAAAAAAACACACTGTACAGTGGAGATTTCTCTTTTAGGTAGGCCTATAGTAGTTACCTAAAAGCATTATCATACATAGGTGAAACCCCCTGAAAAGTTCTCCTGGGACCTTCAAATGAAATTCAGAAAATGTTAGTACCAGATAATTTGATGGGAATATGCATGAATAGGTATAATGGCTATTATATAGCCCCGTTAAATACATATCAGCACAAATATGTAATATAACCAATTATTTTTGCAAGAACAATATAATTGTTCATAGAAAAAAAACGCAATATTTTTGTGTCAGACGCAACTTTACCATTATTTGTCTCCTTAAAGGTATGCATATACAGATTAGTTTTCCTTCCCTGTTGTCGTCCTCACAACTTCAGATCATTTAGGCAGTGTGTATGTGAATGTACATACACATACCTATATAAGAACCTTTGTGAGTCTAGTCAGATTTCTTGATACCAATGTTGTCCATTCCTTTAAAAATTTTGTCTGCTAGACCTCCAATTTGTTTTTTCACAAGTTTCAGATGTCTCTCATGTAAAAGCTTTTGTGTAAGGTACTTCTCTCTCTTGATTTTGTCTTTCGTTTCATCAGAAATGTCCGGGATAATGTATGATATTATAAACTTGACGAAGTAGACAATGTGCTGTCAGAAGGCAACAGAATTACAATTAACGATCAGGAGCATCTGCTAAAGAATAGGCAAGATTATGTATTCATGACCATAAAGGGTTCTAAAATAAGATTAGGTTCACACTGTAGCAGGTTCGTGTGGGCGTGATTACATGAATGGGCTGCTGTACCTGCAGGAAACATGGGGAAAAAGTCAGATCCTTTTTAAAAAAAACACAGGCATATGGAATGGTATGGTGCTGTGGCACCATGCAGTTTTGCGCACCCAAAAACGCACTGCATTTTCCAATGCATGGGGGTACCATTAGGAATCGATGGCACCCCTAACCTTCTGCAGCGCATTTTCCCTGTGGGTCAGGAAATGCATGCAATTTACACACGTTCTCGGACCTGCTACAGTGTGAACCTAGCCTTAGTGCATTTTTAGACAAAGTGAACTTATTGCTTTTGCTCCTGTGCCCGAACCTAAACCATCCCACGATCACCCACCACAGGTCAGTACTTACCAGAATCTGTCGCTAGCAGCCATCAGGAATTGTTTACATTCCACACATTAATACTGCCTCTGCTGGCCACACCCATGCATTACACTTCTACAGACTTCTATAGAGTCGTCAACTTGGTTGTGAGACTGACTTCAAGCGAAGCCAGGTGAGGGAGACTTGCAGATTGCTATGTAAGCAATCCTTGAATGCTGCAGGTGATGGATCTTGGTAAAGATCTGTTTAGGGTGAGGGTGAGATGGTTTAGGTCAAGCTATGGGGCAAAATAATAAGTGTACTATGTCTGATAATTATTCCTTAATTGTAAAGAAAATACAAAAATAATAAAAACAAAAGACAGCTACACAATGCAAAAAGTGAAAATTTCTGATTGAAATATATTCCATTGTTGTGTCTCCTCTAAAATAAATTAAAGATAAAATCTCATTGGTAGTAATAAATTGCTGCACATCACTGCTCATGGTAACCTGATTAAATGGCTCCTATTGTACAAAAAGCAATAAAGTGCAGAAACCCATATCAATTACATATTTGCTTTATAACAGATCTGTTGCAAAACATAAAGCCCAACTCCACCCAAAAATAATTTATGTTTATGGTTTTGAAATGTGCGGAGAAAGGTTAAAGTGGTTGTAAACATTAAAGGGTTTTTTTTAATGCATTCTCTGCATTAAGGTAAATAACTTTCTGTCTGTTCCCCCCTCATCCTTCCCTGACTCCTGTATCAATCCAGTGCTGTGCCCGGATGCAAGTCTTCTCCCCTGGCCTCTCTCCTGGTCTTATGAGCTTTGTTGACAGCATTGGGAGCCAATGGGTCCTACTTCTATCTGTCAAATCCAGTGATGAAGGAGTTGGTGGGGTTCAGCCACACTGTGTGTCTGTCTATGGACACACAGAGCTTGGCCCATAAGCTGACTTGCACGTCTGTCCCCATAGAAAGCAGCTAGCTATGGTGGTGGACTGAAAAGAGGAGGAGCCAAGAGTGCCAGCGGGGGACCCCAGAAGAGGAGGTTTGGGCTACTCTGTGCAATGCCACTGCACAGAGCAGGTATGTATAAACCGGTTTATTATTTTAATTTAAAAAAACAAAAACTTTACAATCACTTTAAAACCTTGGTCAAGTTTTAAATGCTGTGCCCAGGAGATTTCCTCTCCCTTCCTATTACATAAATCTCTCGATTTGAGAGTCAAGAAGGGTTAGAACCTCTGACAAGTTTAATTGCTTTCTGTGTCACCAACAAGTGAAAAACAGTTGCAATGCAGAATTAGCACAGTGCCCATGTAAACACAACCACTTCTAGGGATGTCGGTTTCAAAGCAAACCTGCCAGGATAGCTGCTATCTTTAACAGCCAAATATTGCTTGGAAGATACTACTGAAAAAGTGCATAGGATTCCCAAAACACTTTGGGGACATTTATTTAAGCAATTGTGTATCATTTAATGTGAAATGTATGTGTAAAACGGTTTTTTATCTTTGGGGCTGTTTTGTAAACAAGACAGTTTTAGTATTGCACTATAGTTCGGCCATATACCCAGGGCCGGTGCTAAACTAGTTTGTGCACTAGGCAAGACAGCTACTTGCCCCCCCCCCCCCCCCCAAAAAAAAAAATAAAAAAAATTTAAAAAACAGTAGAAAACATTAAATCAACAAAACATGAAACTGGTAAATTTATTTTAATTTGCAAAAATAAGTGCCATAAGGTGCCATTAGCACCAATATTAAAGACAAAATCCATGACACCTGGGGGGGGGGGGGGGGGGGGGGAGATAAAACACTGACAGCAGGCAGCACAGCCCACACACAGAGAACACCTGAACTGAGCGATCCCACAGATGCGATGCAACACACCACCACCAACACTGACACAGATCAGCAGGCCCAGCAGGCACTAGAAGAGCAGGTTGTGAGATTGTGATGGTGTCATCACTCACTGACACATTGCACATGTGATGGATGTGCCAGCTGGGTCACACTCACACAAACACGAGACATCAGAGTCAGACAATACCTCCCTGCGCAGGCGCAGCTCCACCTCCGCTGATGAATGGGAAGAGAAGGGCTGGAACTCCACAGTGATCAGCAGCTGCTAGCCAGTTTGCAGTAAGGGACTGAGTCTGAGAGGAACACTGGAAGGAGCAGCAGCTCAGCTGCTACATTGGCCCCAGACACCTGGCATATTCCTCTCTCCTTTCTTCCTCCCCTCTGCTGCACCTCCCCTCAGCTGAAGGATCATATTTGACATGGCGGCGGCGGCCCACAAAGAGATAGTCCAGCCAAGGGGCTGACTGACTGACCATTTGGAAACTCGGGCACTGCCCAAGGGCCCAGGGTCAGTAGGGTGCTCCATGAGTTGCCCCTGGTACCTTTTTCATAGGCTTTTTTGAGTTTGGGCAAGGACACAGGGGCCCCATGATCCCCTATTGCCCGGGGGCCCTATGATTTGTCAGTCCACCCCTGGTCCAGCCCATGCTGTGCCCAGGCACCCGTAGGTGGCAGTGCACCCTAGGCAGCTGCTTGGTTTGCCTAGTGGAAGCAGCGGCCCTGCATATACCATGTCTTTTAAAGACAAACGGATATGTTCATTTCTATAGCAGCTAATTTATTATGCAAATTGCATACAGAAAATAAATCCGTTCTGAACTTTAATTATAAATAAAAGGCATTAGTCTAGCAACTGCAAACATTAACAGTTTTGATAAATAACACCAAAAGTGTTCTCAAACTCCTTAATAAGACGATGTTTCTCTTATCTCTTGAGTTATCATGTTGAACCTATCTAAACAAATCATCATATTTTCTCCAAATAAAACACACAATCAACATTCAGATGGGTCAAATGTTTACCTCCATGACAATGAGAAAAGCAAGCTTGGCTGCAATGACATGCCAGTATAATATGCTATGCTCATACTGATGTTCCTGGCCAGGTGGATAACGGAAATCACGGTATCTGCAAAAGTGATTAAAGAATAATTTTAAAAAATGCAGTAAGATGTAATAACCACAATTCACCAACAGGTGGAGCATATCAATTACGATACGTTCAGAGCTGCAAAACTCTGGGTGGAATTTCCCTTTTCATTACAATGTTTTCCATTACAGTGTTTTTCATGCAGCTGTCATAACATCCAGTAACATATGTAAGTCATTTGTAAGTCATTGTGCACAAAACTGGAAAAGTAATTTTTTCTGCTCCTACAGAATCTACTGCACAAAGGCAGGCAGCATTTATGTATTATTATGAATAACTTGTCTGTCTGAAAATTGTATTAAAATGATGGCCCATCCAAAACAAATCAATATCATTTAAGAAATGCTGGAGAATTCATATGTAACTTGTGCCAAGTATAAATTGAATGTATTGAATGAACTCTTGCTGCTTATACTTACTTTCCAGTTACTCACTCCTCTGCTGCCCTGTTCACCTGCTAGAGAGAAGTGAAGTACCTGGTAGCTCTGGGTATGAGAGATCAGGAGATCAGCGACGACAGTGTCACGTTATTAACCACTTCAAGTCCGGACACTTTTACCCCCTTCCTGTCCAAGCCAATTTTCAGCTTTCAGTGTGGTCACACTTTGAATGACAATTGCGCGGTCATGCAACACTGTACCCATACGAATTTAGCATTTTTTTGAGACAGGTAAAACTTTATTTTGGTGGTATTTATTCAGCACTGGTTTTTTTTTTTTTTTTGCTATATAAATGAAAGTCAAAACATTTTGAAAAAAAAAAAAACAAAAACAGTTTTTCTTATAAAATTTTGCAAATAATCAATCTTTCTTCATACATCTTGGCCAAAATGTATTCAGTTATCTTTTTAGTAAAAAAAAAAAAAAATAATAATAACCCTAATTAGTTTAGAACCAAAAAGTATAATTTTTGTTTAAAATTTTTTTTTTCATTTTTATTAATATTATTATTTTTTTTTTTTTACATACTGTCACCCTAGCAGTACAAAGTCACCATAGTGACACTGTACTACTTGTGGGGGGTGATGAAGATTTTTTTTTTTTTTTTTTACAAGGATTGCTTGTACACCCATAAAGGCTGTAAAAGCAATCATTTCTCCTCTCTGGCTGATTTCTTGCAGCCATTGAGAAACACTGTGTGAGCTGTGATTGGTCACAGCTTGTCACATGGTACACGGCTGTTGTGAATAGCCTTGTACCATGTGATCTCTGTGATCATTCACAGATTTCACACGTAGTAAGCAATGATGTCAGAAGTGACATTTTGCTTACACCTATTCATGTAATCACTGATTGGCCAATCAGTGATCACATGATCGGGACCTCACACATGTCCCGTACATCGATCGGTACTCCGGACACAGCAGGCACTGGATTGTGGTGCCACAGTCCAAAATGGCGGGCACCGGTTATGAACGGCAACTCGCCCCTGCACTGCCTGTTGTATATAAATGGCCGGACGGGAAGTGGTTAAATGAGCAGTTTTTGCCACATTTTTGGAGCAGCACCATTCATTTGAAAAAACATGCCAAAGTAGCTTCTGTTGGAAAAGGAAGAAGTTCTGAAAGTCGCACATCTCTGCAAAACACCGTAAGAAGGTGTATGACAGTCTTGGCCTGGGCTTCAGCCAGGCCATACTCCCAACACATTTCACTCTGCCCATGGAACTTAGTCATGGCTAAGCTTCCGTGACTAAGCTTCGTGGGTGGAGTGAAATGCATTGGGAGTGTGGGCTGGTTGGAGCCCGGGCTGAGGCTGTCATACACCTTCTTACAGGGTTCTGCAGAGATGTGCAACTTCCAGGACTTCACCATTAGATGTGAAGAGCTGGGACGAACTTTGTCCTTATCTGCACTCCAAGCGGTTGCTACATAAGGGGATCCAGTGGAGCCTTGAGCTGGATCATAGAAAGTAGCTTCTGTACCTTTTGTTGGAGGCAACTTTGGCATGTTTTTGGAAAGTGTGCTTTTGAACATTCTGTAGCACCTGTTTTTTTTTTGCGTGTTTGGGGGTTACATTAAATTATAACTAAAAAGGCAAAACTTTTTTTTTTTTTTTGGATAGAGCAAGGGAGGGTTATAACCATTGTCAGATTTTTTTTTTTCGCCATCTGTGTCCCATTGCGGAGATTTCCCTTCACTTCCTGTCCCATAGCCAAACAAGAAGTGAGAGATCCCTGAAAGTTAAGGGAATTCCTTGGGGACCACCAAGTCACCATAACTAGTGTCCCTACTGGAAGATTTCCCCTATATAACATTTTTGGGGACAATCCAGAAACTTTCAATAATAATAAACAAAAAGAGAGGGAGAATCTCCTTAAAGCAGAGCTCCACCCAGAGGGGAAGTTCTGCATTAAATACTCCTCCCCTGCCACATTTGACATGCAATTTTTTTGGGGGGGGAGCGGATATCTAGGTTTGACAGATACCCGCTCTCACTACCGCTCAGATCATCTAGATGAAGTTCTCCTCTCCCTGCAGTCTTCTGGAACATGTCACAGGTCCCAGAAGGCTGCCGGACTATTCAGGAGGTGCGGTGCAAGTGGGCACTCGACTGTGAAGCCACAAGCTGTCACAGCCGGGTGCCCACAGTTGAGATGCTGGCGCCAGGGAGAGAAGGGAAGGTTTGGTCGAGCACGGAATCCTGGGACAGGCGAGTGTGTGTTTATTAAAAGTCAGAAGTTAGTTTTTGTAGCTGCTAACTTTTAACAAACACAAAAACGTCTGCAGCTCTTTAACGGGGCACAGGCAAACTAACAAGCATTTTAATCCATCTCCACTCTGTCCAAACTAGGAAAAAAAAAAAAAAAAAAAAAAAGAAGGGTTTTACCTTTGATTATGCTTTATATGCCAATAGTGGCACAAAATGCGAGTTGCGTGTTTTGCAGCGACTTTACCTCATTCCAGACTCGCAGGCAATTCTAGAGCAACCAGATGTGAATGCGGCCTCAATATTGGATATACACCAAAAAATTAGTTTTGCTGTTGCAGCACCCTTGTAGTGGAGCCTTCCTGCATTGCAATGGTTGATTATAGATATAATCTAGGAGCAGAGGATTAAGAAGTACATCATTACCTTGCTCCAGTAGGCACCCTCCAACACTGCAACTGGTCCTCAGCAGTTGCTGTATAAGCTGCGACTGGTTCTGGCCATACTCCAGCCTCCTCAGCATACCATGCATATGTTTATGTATGGTATGTGATGATTCTGAGGCTCTATGCACAGATTGGAGCTCAGGCAGAGAAAGGAGGAATCAGATAAGTGATAGAGCCTCTTTATCTCTCCTCTAGACATAACAAGTAATTAATGTGGGTGGACTAAAGGGTGGATATTTTTCCTGGAGTTGGGCATGCTAGTCATAGCAGAATTTCTGCCTTGGCTTCCTGACAGGTACAGTAGAAGAGAGTGACTAACTGATTTGGAATAATGCACTGGCCACCACCTTGAGTCCTCTGGTTGCTGCTAGTTTCAGGGCAGGCACATTGCTATGCATAAAGCTGCACAGAAGTCCACTCCTGCAGAGCTAGTCCCTACCCAACCGCAGGAATCTAATGGAAATCTTTTGCACAAATTCGAAGCTTCGCCAAACACAGAAGGGAAGTGGAAAGTTGCATTTAAAATTACACTCTTGCAGGGCTCGCTCCACTCCAGGTTCTTACTAGACCTGATATTGAGATTGCAGATCAGGAGGGCTGTATATTTTCTTGTTCACATTACTGTAGCACCAGACCAATGTAAGATGGGTGATTAATCTCATCATAATGTAATACAATTATATTTCAGAAATGAAATATAATACAATATAATTCAGAAATGAAGAAAAACACTTCAGTTTTCCAAAGAATAGAACAGGTATAAATAGGTAAAGTAGACCAGTTACTACTTGCCTGCATGTAGTTTGATTCTGAAACCATACTGGAGGGACTGGTCTGCTTTCATTCTTGAAATCCGATATGCTGAATACTGAAAGAGTATTGTTAATGTATCCCTCCATGGTGTTAGATGAATAGGTGCCATAAGGAGGTACAGAAAAAGACCAGTAATAGACCAAACGTGGTATCATGTCAGATGTAAAGGCAATGATCATAGCCTGTAATTAAAATAAAATAAAAAAAAAATTCAGTTTGCACACAGATACACATCTGATCCTCACATAAATATACCTCACACATTCTATGTACCCAATAGCATTATCACCACCTTATGTTCTACAAAACAAAGTAGCTCCAGTGTATTAGGACACTTGATAGCAGAGAAAAGAGGTCTATAGAGGTGGTTGATCAAATATTTTCGGATGGACTTTTGGAGTTTTGCATTTCCGCTTAGACACATTTTTTTATGCGTGCTGATGCAATTGTGCTGAGTTTCCCCCTTCTTTGATCTGCCAATAGAAGATGAAGCTTGACTTTCTCTGGGGCAGGAAATTCCAGGAAATTAACTAAGCTGAACAGATATTATTATTATACAGGATTTATATTTTGTTCAGCGCTTTACAATATAAAGGGAAACAATACAGCAACGATACAGTGCAATACAAGAGGGTTAGGAGGACCCTGGTCCTTGAAGCTTACAATCTAAGAGGTAGACCTTTTTCACGTTTATTTGTGCCATCTGTGCCAGATTAGGTGTGCCCCTAATTAACAAAGGGAATATGGCAGTTTTCCATATAGAACACTGCCAGGTATGACCTGTCATATGGGAGCACACATCCCATACATGGTCAGAGTCTTCAGAGTTAACGTCCTGCCCTGAACCAAGCTCCAATCAAAACGCCCTATGTGCTGCCTGTCACAGACATTTTAAATACAGTTTAATCAACATTGACTATTTGTAATTCTTATGCTTCTAGCAAAAGTAAATAGATAGGAAAGTATCATATTTACTTATTTTAAGCTTTTTCTTTTTACATTTCTTCAGTTACTTCCTGGTTTCCAGGCCTAGGAAATGATGTTGTACACCCCAGGAGTCTTCAGGAGGGGTTTTCTCAGCTAAGCACACCCTCCTGCCTAAAGGCCTGAGATAATGGCAATTGGATTCCAGGAAGTAAATGCTACGTGAATCATCTGCCCTTACTCAAGGTGATCATGACTAGAAATGCAAGGGAATGTTTTGCAATAGTATTTTTCAGCAAAATAAAGCATGGAGACATTGATGAATGCACGAGTTTGCTTTGAATATTGAAAATGAACGAAATAGCCCAGATGAACCTTAGGTAAAGTCCTTAGCAGGCTCTCCTCTGTAAACCAGTGGAGGGGGCGCCGAAACCTGCGCGTCAGTTATTCGCACTGATTTTTATGGCAGCCAGAATCTCTATTGCGTGGTCTTGGAAGTCCCCCGTTATTCCGTTCCACCTTCTGAAGACCAAGCTGACATGGATTATGATGAATGAACGCCTGACGGCGATTTTTCAAGATAAGATGGCTCTTTTTGAAAGAGTATGGGACCCATGGCTTAGATACCTGTCAAGTTCTTGGTGATTTGGGACCGTCCATTTGCCTGGGCGGTGAGGGGGGCGCGCCTATACGTTCACTTTCTCCCCCCCCCCCTTTTTTTCTCCCTCTCTTTTCCTTCTCTCGTCTTATTCCCACTTTTTTTCTATTTTCTTTCTCTCATTCTATATTTTCTTTAATTATGGTTGTTGTTGAGTTCATTGTTGACATATCATTCTGTGAAGGGCCTTTCTGTACTGTCAAAAATGTTATTGCTGTGCCTTTTCTTATGTTGGTCACAGTGGAATGTGCCTATATGTCCTCATTGACGGAAATATCGCAATTTTTTTTTGTTGTTTTCCTCTTTTCCTCCCGTGTATCCTGGGAGGTGTTTGTATTTTATTAATATGAAAATAAAAATATATTGAAAGAGAAAATAAACAAAATAGCAATTTTTGTTTGTGGCGCACAGATGCAGTGTAGTTCCACTTTAATTATAAAATATTTATTGTGTACAGATATAGGAACCCTACTCAAGACTGAGTGCCCTTAAAATCTTAATACAATTGGTACATTAAAGACAATTAAGAAAAACTTGACCTGCACCCTTTATAAGGAAAATCTATATAAAACTAATTTTCCATTGGTATCAAACTCTGGAACGGCTCCACATTGTTTACCTAGTGGCCAGTAATACATGTTGGCAATGCAAAAATTAAATGGGATCTGTCCACTCATCAAATGTGTTAAAAGATTGCTATCACACATACATATAGATGCCTGCTAGCCCTCAATACAAAAAAAAGTGGAGCCACCAACCCTCACAAAACTCCACACCAGAATTAGAGGTGTTAAACTAATGGAGAATCTTACTGCATGTTTCCATGAAACCCATGAACAGTTCAGGAAGGTTGGGAGCTGTGGCTGGAGGACATAAAGTGACTGAAGCCTTTTTTGTTATTGACTCAATAAATAGAGGCTTGCGCTGTGTGCCCAGAACAACAACACGATAGAACGGAACTCCACTTTTGTTCATTCTGACTTTATTCCTATTTCTGCTCTTTGTATTCGCTTCCTATACATTTCCCTTCTCACCAAGTGATATTCTCACAGTAAGGCTACGTTCACACTAGCTCTGTCAGCAGGCGTTTTGGAAGCGGTTTTACCGCTTCTCAAACGCCTCTGAATATTCTGCACATGGCAGCACACAGTGCTGTTCACACGGAAGAGTTAACATCGTGTTGCGGCAAAACTGACACCTCTGGTCGAGTCAGGAGGAGTTGAAGCCTCCCATTCAAGTCTATGGTCCTGCTCCACAAATGCCTGGCCGGCGTTTGCGAAGCGTCTGCGGAGCATTAATACCATTTAAACTTCATTATAGGATTTTTTGGTGCGGTTTTAACGCTTGGCAAATGCCTATCAACCGCTTCAAAACCGCGCATAGGGTGTCTAATGCTTGTCAAATGCTATAGGGCCGTTTGGTAAGAGTTAGAAATAAAGTCAAGTGTGAACGGGCACTAAATATCCAGTACAGATTCCCGATTAATAATTCTGGCTTGAGATCCATGCACCTGTAGTCATTGCTGTCCTAGATGCCCCCAAGTGGATTAATACAGAAGATTGTACACTGTTATGGGATAAAAACTGTAGAAAATGTTACTAGAACTCACTATATCCTTGTACAAGCCAATGCCATTTCCAGAATTATTCAGTTTATAACTAGATCACACCATGTAATTAAGCGAAAGTCTTCACTTTATGTCCTGTAAATGTATGCTACTTCTCTCTTCTTTAGAAGCACCATTCTAAACTATACTGTATATTGCTATATTTTTCATACACTGTGAAATGTCGCTCACCTCCCACTTTATTGTACTCTGCTAAAATACAATAAAATCAGTTGTAGGAGGAAAAAAAAAAAAAAGGAAGATAATTAGGAAAAGTTTTTACAAATCATGACTAACACTGGCTTTGTTCTGTAGATGATGTACCAGAAGTGCAATATAAAAATGTCCCTTTTAGCAATAATTCTGAATAATAATGTAGTGCAGAATATCAAAAAGCAGAATGCAGTAATGCAGCTTGGTAATCATTAATACATCATTCATTTTTTTTTCAATAGAATCAGTTTAAGTATGACATTAGCCTCTTATAGTCCCTGTATAGCAGAGCTGGAGTATGGAGGAATAAGCAGTATAAGGAGCCAATCAGTTCATGTGCTGACAAGAAGTATGCTGATAAGAAAGCAAAGTGAGAGAGATGAGCAGATCATTGTGCTGCTTCTCTTTTCACTGTCAAGGTCACAGGTTGATTCAGGTCCTCTAAGCGCTGGGCTTAGAGGAAATCGATTGAAGGATGCTGGACTTCAGACTGAGGACAATAATGACAGAAAAAAAAAGTACTGTGGGGGATATCTCTGGTTTGAGGATGAATATTGTAGCAAAAGCTTGTTTTGATATTTCATATCTTTAAATAGATTATTCATTTTTGTCTCATTATTTTTAACTGGAATTCTGCTTTAGGGCTAATGCCCACTTTAGCTTAAAAAAAAAAAAAAAAAAAAAAAAAAGCTGTTTTTTACAGGCGTTTGAGCTTTTTTTTCTCTGTCTCTAATATGTCTGTTCTTACAGGGTGGATATGATAAAAAAAAATGCTCCATTTATTATTGCACATCAGTCAAACATAAAACACCTGTGTTTAGACTCTGGAAGCAGCGTACTGCGTTTCTTAACTGCCCCATTTAGAGCTAATTAGGGCACATCCTAGCGGAATCACTGCAGTGCCGTTGTGCACATTGAATTGTTCACTTTTTTTAAAACAAACTTTATTGAAATGTTACACAATGACATTCAATAAGTTCAATTGGCTGCCGCGCGTTGTGATTGCCTCATGCTGCAGTGCAAAATAGCCACTGGAATAGCCACCCAGCGCAGTCCCTCCACGTCTAGTGTGAATGGACCCCCGTCACTAAATCCCCATAGCAGACCAAGGTCTTCACTAGTTCATGCACAGATCTGCATTCATCAAAAATTATCTCAAGAAAAGAAAACACCTTTTGTTATGAATTATAAAAATAATGCATGCGGTAAGCCAAGAGACCTCCAAGTGACCATTTCCGTATCCACTATATTGCCAAAAGTATTAGGACGCCTGCCTTTACACGCACATGAACTTTAATGGCATCCCAGTCTTAGTCCTTAGGGTTCAATATTGAGTTGGCTCACCTTTTGCAGTTATAACAACTTCATCTCTTCTGGGAAAGCTGCCCACAAGGTTCAGGAGTGTGTCTATGGGAATGTTTGACCATTCTTCCAGAAGCACATTTGTGAGGTTAGGCACTGATATTGGACGAGAAGGTCTGGTTCGCAGTCTCCTTTCTAAATCATCCCAAAGGTGTTTTATCTGGTTGAGGTCAGGACTCTGTGCAGGCCAGTCAAGTTCCTCCACCACAAACTTGCTCATTTATGTCTTTATGGGCCTTGCTTTGTGCATTGGTGCGCAGTCATGTTGGAACAGGAGGGGCCATCCCCAGCATTGGGAGCATGCTGATGCCTTAAGAGTTCCCTTCACTGGAACTAAGGGGCCAAGCCCAACCCCTGAAAAACAACCCCACACCATAATCCCCCCCCCCCCCTCCACCAAACTTTACACTTGGCACAATGCAGTCAGGTAAGTACTGTTCTCATGGCAACTGCCAAACCCAGACATGACAATCGGATTGCCAGACAGAGAAGCGTGACTGGTCAATCCAGAGAACAAATCTCGACTGCTCTAGAGTCCAGTGGTGGCGTGCTTTACACCACTGCATCTGATACTTTTGCATTGCACTTGGTAATGTATGGCTTGGATGCAGCTTTTCGGCCATGGAAATCCATTCCATGAAGCTCTCTACGCACTGTTGTGCTAATCTGAAGACCACACGAAGTTTGGAGGTCTTTAGCTACAGACAGTTGGCGACTTCTGCGCACTGTGAACTTCAGCATGCAATGACCCTGCTTTTTCATTTTACGTGGCCTAACACTTTGTGGCTGAGTTGCTGCTGTTCCCAGTTGCTACCACTTTGTTATAATACTACTAACAGTTGACCGTGGAATATTTAGTAACAAGGAAATTTCACGGATGGACTTATTGCACAGGTGACAACCTATCACGGTACCACGATTGAATTCACTGAGCTCCTGAGAGTGACCCATTCTTTCACAAATGTTTGTAGAAGCAGTCTGCATGCCTAGGTGCTTGATTTTATACAACTGTGGCCATGGAGGTGATTGGAACACCTAAATGCAATTATTGGGGAGGGTTGGGGCAATACAGTTTATGTGGTAATGAGGAGTCTATAAAGTGATTTGTTGGTTGGGTACTAATTAAAAAAAAAAAAAAGCACACAGCACTATTCAATAGGCCCTGTCCTGGTGGATGTTTATGTCCATTTACAGTATCAGTGTGAAGAAACTTACTCTTTTAAAGCTGCATAAAAAAACATTGGACCAAATGCTAAACATGGATTGCAGTATTGCTGTGGAGAATGGCAACATAAGCTAATTTTTTTAAATAAAAAATGAAGTCATTTTATATTTATCATACATTGGTCACCACTGCGAGTATGGCTACTCCTTGCATGATTGGCTGCCAGGCTCCAATGTGCTGTGCTTTCTCTGGTACCATGCGTCTGGACTGGGTGGTGAGCTTCCAGGCATCAACCCGAATTTCCAATAAATTATTCACAAGTGCCAACAGAGGTGCAAGTGGAAATGATGCCACAAACAAGGTGACAAATCCGAACTGGATTACTGTTACGAGAGAAGGAATAAAGACAAATATTTAAACAACTGTATAGTAATAGAAAGGCATAATCTAAAGTGCCAATCACAACAGTTTCCATGAGAAACAGCCATCCATATGTATATTTGTACACATTCTATGATGAGGTGTGGGAACAAGCACATGAGAAAGAGAAAAAGTTGGGGGAAGAATGATAGGTGGAGGGAGGTAACAGGGAAAAAGAGGGGGAGAGACAAAGGTAGAGGAAAAAAATAATAAGAGAAATGGAGGGAGAGACACAGAAAGAGAATAACAAGAAAGCCAGGAGAAAAGTAAGGGGGCAAAGGGAATTAAAAGATGTGGGTATACAAAAACATACTACCATGTATAAACTTATTAATTAGAAGCTGGTAATTCAACACTTATTTTCCTAAAGAACCAGTATGAACAAAAGAAAAAATAATACACAATTTACCCATCTCAAGATATTCATAGAACAATCCCAATTTTCCAATAGGTTGTAAATGGTAATCCTGTTCCCATCTTGGCTTAATTGTTTCTATTCCGGAAGAACGAAATCGTGCAATAAGGTTTTTTAACCAGCTAGTAAATAAGAATAAAATACAATGACAATATATTCTTTAAGACTATATTTTCTATATTATGTTTTTAAATAAAAACACATTTGCTGCCCTCTACTGTCTGTGATTGTACATAACTTTTGCTTGTAATTACTGTAGAGTTAGTTGGTTGCAGACAGGTACTTCCTGTCCCGACTAGCTGGGTCATGACAAATGTCTTATTGGAAGACGCAGGAAGGAGATGCAGAGAACTGAGTCTTAAAATAATGAAAGTCACCCAGACCAGAAGCAGAGACTATTAGGCAAGTATTCCTGTGATCTAATAGTTTAACTGCAGTTGCCCATAGCTTCTTAAAGGGGGGGTTTTGAATCCTTGTGACCAGGGGCGGACTGACCATTCGAGCACTGCCCAAGGGGCCTGGGGTCAGTAGGGGGGCCCCATAAAATGCCCCTGGTATCTGTTATAGGCTTTTTTGGGTGTGTTTTGAGTGTGGGAAAGGACACAGGAGCCCCATGATCCCCTACTGCCCAGGGGCCCCATGAGTTGTCAGTCCATCCCTGCTTGTGACAGATGTATCGCTGTCCTGTTGTTATTATCCCACATACACAGTGCTAGATAGTTTAGTGTGTTACTTTAGGTGTGTAGTGGTCACCTTTCAGTGAATTAGTATGTAGACCTGTTTATTGCAATAGAGTTTATATACAGCTCATGTTATTTCAGTTAACCCTGTCCTTTCTAGTCTGAGATTCTATAGCTAGTTTTAGCTTAGGGCTCAATAACCAGCAGAGGCAGGCAGGTTAGGCATTCGATGACCAATTGTAGTCGTTAGAAGTCCAGCTGCATGACAGATTAGAAAACTACTAGGGACTAAGATGCAGAGTAGATCGGCTGGCTCTGTATTCCAGTGCCACACCATGGTTTCTGCAGGGGAGAATTTGCAGGCTGGTTGGACAACCATTGGAGGATCTCCCCATCACGGCTGATCTTGTCTTTGTGTCTCCAACACAGAAACAGCATTGTAAACATTCTCGGGGCCCCTGCAACTGAACTTTCCTGAAACATTCACCTGGAGGTATCTTTATTAATAACTACTGTATAGATACCCAGGTATATGTGCAAAATTCCACCGGACCATTTACGGATAACGGTTTTTACATTGGCTGTATGTACTATTAACAATCTTATATGACGCTTATTTCCATACTGGTGTGCATCTATATACTAAAAGTGTTACTAAACCCAGGACCCTGCATTCACTATATCTGGTCTCCCACACTACATGGAAATCCAATTATTTTAGTAAATATAAACTGCTAATGCCTTTTCTCATCAGCAGTTTAGAGTAGTCTTGTGACTTCTATCAGTGTCCAGCTGAGCACATTTTAAAATTTGTAGGAGGAGTTTTTCTGCTCTAGGAGGATGCAAAATCCCTGACCCTCTATCTGGACAGTGCTGATTTGCCCTGTGCGGATCACATGCACTCTCCCAAGAAAACCCCCCAAAAAACTCTCTAGCAATACACACTAAACTGAGCATGTGCAGTGTCTCCACACCGTATGTCTTATTAAGAGATAAGAGGGAGACACCAGAAGAAGGGGAGCATCAGAGAAGTTAGGATCAAACAGAATTTTTAATCAAAGCAGAGGATTAACCCCTTAGGTTCCAGAGTGAGCATAACAAGCATGCTTTACTGCATATACAGACTGATTTTACGGTTGTCGGTTTAGTAACACTTTAAGGTTAATGTTATATGCTGGTTACAGTAGCTCCTCTGCTCCCAATCACTAAGGAATAATGAGGTAATCTCTGATATGGCCTACATCCTTGAAACAAGCCTTGAATCAATTGGCAAAAAATACCTCTATTGTTGTTAAACCGTCTGACAAGGGAGGCAATATTGTCAATATGTAACAGCCAACATGTCAATATGTACAATAAAATTCTGTCAAATAAAATCTGGTATCGAAATATTCCCCCAATATGATCAATAAATTCAATGGCCAGATTTATGAATTGGTTGATGCTGCTTTTCTGAATGGCATCATTACCAAAACTACATGGGAATTTGTTTGTCAGAACCAGCTTTCCAAGAATTCCAACCTTTTACTCTCTTCCAAAAATTCATAAGAATGAAGAAAACCTTCAGATAGACCTATTATTTCAGGTAATGGAGCTATAACCGAAAATCTGAGTCGGTTGGTTGATGAGCATCTTAGACCTCATGTATTGAATTTTTCATCATATGTAAAGGACTCCATACACTTAATGAAAATCATTCCTCCTTCATTTGTGTCTCACATGTTCCTCCTCCCAAACAGTGCAGATGCAGTTCTAATTATGTGCTGCAGCACATATCTTTATTGGAAGCCATATTTTATAGTTTGAAGAGGTAGTCAATGTTTTTCTTGGAAGAGGACTTTACCCAAGCCAAATACTTTATGTCTGAAAGCTTTCATATTATATGATCATGTGTATTTATCATATCTATTCTGAGCTACAGAAATACCTGCAATAAATTGAAGTCAGTCCCATGTAGGTGTTTAAATTTTTCGGTCCGTGTCAACTGGGGTTGTGGAAAAATCCATTGCATCTTCAAAACTTATTGTATGCAATGGTATAGCTGTATCCAGGGCCACCTGTCTCGGGTGCAGTTTTTATTGTGGGTGGGTGGGCGCTGGGTTCTTGCTGGTGCTCCATTCTCCAGCTGCCTGAATGAGCGGAGTAACAATGCTGTCATTACGGTCATTCAGACAGCTGAAAAGTTATTAAGTGTTCTTGCATAGCAAGGAACACTTATTGTTATCTCACAAGTATATTCTTATTCTTCTTCTTATTATTATAGCAAATTTGCCACGCTAACTCCTCCCACAGTTTTTACACTACAAAGACAAGTAATATATCAAAACGTGCGGATTGTTCCCGATCAGATTGCTATTACTTTGTGGAACGTTTCGCCGAATCGTTCAAGAAATATCGCGGTTTTGTGGTGAAATTTTTCCATAGGAATGCATTGAGCAGCAGAGCACAGCTAGAGTGTGCAAAGGAAAAAAATCAGAAAAATCACAACATGATTTGTAAACTGCCATCACTCTTTCATTTTCAAGCCCACCTACAGATATCTTATATCAAAACGTTCAGCTAACCCTGCTGTCACTAAAAATGTTCACGGCTAGACATACTCCTGATAGTTTTCACAATTAATTGTGACCATTTGTTTGGACCTCACCCCTCCCATTGACTTTCATTGAAACTCCACACTACACACAAGAAATTTTAAGGGAATTTTTAAAACTGCGACTGTGCCTTCATTTTTTTATCTTTCAGAGACATACTATACATCAAAATTTAGGTCTGTTTCTTGTGATTTTTCACGGTAGCATTTATACTTTAAAAACTACAAGCGTTTGAAGATGGCAATCGCCAGTGAACTTGACAAGTTAAAAAGCGTTTTTAGAGCAGAGCTGCTCACATTCCTGACAGAGTCTTGCTATAGCAACCAAACATGACTCACACGCAGCTGAGTCACACAGGCTGGACTGTGAGATGGTAAATACAAGCTCAGAAATCCATTTCTGCCTCTGTCAGGCTTGCAATGTGCACTGCTACATTCATCATTACTTGGTCCCCACCCGTAAAGGTTGCGGCAAGAACAGTTTACACAATTTCCCCCAGAAATTGTAATTTTCTTACTTTTTTATTATAATGTGTTCTTGGAAGACCACTTCCTGTTATCTCACAAATATATTCTTATTATTATAGCAAAATTTACCCACCCTAACTCCTCCCACAGTTTTTACCACTCCCCCAAAGACCGTAATATACGGAAACGTGCGGATTGTTCATCCGATCGATGCTATTACTTTGTGGAATGTTTCGCTGAATGCTTTCATGAAATATCGCGGTTTTTGTGGTGAAATTGGTCCCCCATAGGAATGAATGGCGGAATGTTCCAAACTAGAGTGGGAGCTGACAAAAGCTAGAGTGTGAGCTGAAAAATCAGGACATGATTTGTACAACTGCCCATCACTCCCACCATTTTCAAGCCCACACTACTCCCCATCAATCTTATATCAAAATGTTCAGCTATCCCTGCTCCCTAAAAAATGTCCACGGCTAAGCCATACCTGATAGTTTTTACAATATGACCATTTGTTTGCACTCACACGCCGCCCATTGGACACTTTCATTGAAACCACTCTAGCCACCTCCAAATTTGATATGGGCAATTTCTAAAGTGCGACTGTGCCTTCATTTTAAATATTTCAGTCAAGAAATAAATGCATCAAAATGTAGGTGTGGGTCTTGTGATTCTCACAATACTAAAGCTCCTTCATTGTAGGATTTATAATTTTTAAACTACAACCGTTTGAAGATGGCAACCGCCAGTGAAGTGAGCAAGTTGGAGCAGTTTGTTTTTAACCACTCACTCGCTGCCCTTGCTGTAAAGTGAGTTGCCATAAGGTACCCAGGTGTTGAGCAGGAAGCAGAGTGACCAAAGCTAGAGTGTGAGCTGAAACAATAAAAGTTAAATGCATTTCTCACTCTATCAACTTGCCATGGGCACTTTTTAAATTGATCAATCAATTGGTGTAGTGTCATGTTTTACTATAGCTTTACTCACTGCGCCCACTCCACACAGGGACTCCGCCCACATCCAACCTTTTCACAGTTACTCCAACCCACTCAACTCCACACAACTGTTACTCCGCCCCCAACTCCAACCATACAACAGTTACTCCGCCAACAACCCCAATTCCACACAACAGTTTCCACCCACTCCAACCCCCACACAACTGTTACTCCGCCTACTCCAACCACACAACAGTTACTCGCTACCACGTACCAACCACACAACATGTTACTCCGGCCCACTCCCAACCACACAACAGTTACTCCGCCCTCTCCAAACCCACACAACAGTTATCCGCCCACTCCAACCACACAACAGTTACTCGCCCACTCATTTCCCCCAATGTCAGGACGGTACTTAAGATATCCCGCCAAATTGGTCAGGACGGTACAGGTATCCCCCCAAATGTCAGGACGGTACAGGTATCCCCCCCAAATGTCAGACGGTACAGATATCGCCCCAAATGTCAGGACGGTACAAGATATCCCCCAAATGTCAGGACGGTACAGATATCCCCCAAATGTCAGGGACGGTACAGATATCCCCCAAATGTCAAGACGTACAGATATCCCCCAAATGTCAGGACTGTGTATCAGATATCCCCAAATGCAAGACGGTACAGATATCCCCCAATATGTTGGTCAGGATGGTACAGATATCCCCCAAATGTCAGGACGTAAACAGATATCCCCCCAAAATGACCCCTTTTTTTGCAGAGTAGACATGTCCGACGTACTTCATAAGAGGAAATGGCGAGTTTTTTGGAAGTTGTATTTTTTTTTGTCAGTTGCTTTGAGAAAATAAAAAATTTAAAAAAGCTAGTTTCACTATTATTTTTTTTTTTTTTTTTTACATATTGTCACCAGTGCAGTACAGCGTCGCATCATTCTAACTGCCATGGCGGAGATCCGAGGACAATGAGTGGGTGACAGTAAATTATATATTTTTTTATTTTTAATTATTTTTTTAATTTTTTTATTTTTTATTTTGTTTTAATTTATATTTTTTAAGATTATTTCACTATGACCAAAGTAGTACAATGTTACCATAGTAACATTGTACTACTTTGGGGAAGTGATCAGTATTTTTTTTTTTTTTTTTCCGCAATTTGCTTATAGCAAAGAATTACTTTGCTATAAGCAAGCACTTTACCTGAATGACAATCGATTCATTCAGGTTTTTTTTTTTTTTGGTGTGCTTAGCTGTTGATTTGGCCACAGCTAATGTCACATGACATGTACATGTGACCTGCTGTGACCATTCACAGCTAGGCAGTAGTATACAATGGATTGGTATGAATGAAGCCATCCATTGTATACAACTGTCAGTGACCTGCTGTGATTGGTCACAGCAGGTCACACCTGTACCGGCAATTTTGGTTTGAGGGGGAGGGTACTCAGATCTGTCATTGGAGCTGTGTCGAGGTACACGGCCGTGACAGATCGCGGCCGCGCATGCAGGGAGCGCAATCTGCGCATGTGCGGGAGGACGCTGTGTGGTCTGTCCACCTGGAACCTGATGACTTCTTTCGCCCCGGCCCATTCGGAACATAGGGCGGGGGGCAAATGGTTAAAGCAGAATCCCCCCTCCCCCTCCCAACCTTTTTGTAGGTTAAGAAAGCTGTCATTTTACGAGTGCCGGGGGGGGGGGGGGCGGTTTTGCCGTGGTCCTGCTCTGTGTGCTCCAGCTATGGCATGAAAAAGTCAGTGAGAGAGCTCTCATAGGCACACTGTGACAGTTTTAGCACAGGTATGATTTGAATGTTACTGGCTGAACCTGCTCATTTGCATATCTTTGCAAAGGATCTGGGAAATGGGTTTTGCCACCTCAGGATTTGATCAATCTGAATTATTTGAGTTTTTAGGATGTTTATAGAGCCAAGAAATATTTGAGAAGTGAACATACAAGCCAAAAGAAAGATTTTAATGTTAATTCAAATTTGACTCTCCATAGGGTTGATATTTTGGTAGTTCTCGGGACGGTTTAAAAAGACTCGAAGCTTACTGAGCAGATGGAGAGGTTGGGGAAAGCTCCATGGACACCAGGTTGAAGGATTCTCTCTGGGGCCGAATCAGTGACACTGATTGTGAAGATTTCCTCTAGAGGGGAAGTTCATTGATACTGATGTGAGGATCTCTCTGAAAGAAGGTTCAAGTGATTACTGACAAGGAGTGATACATAATGATCTTCTCAGGGGGAAGTTCAGTGATACGGACAATGAGGACTCTCTGGGGAAGTTCAATGATACTGACAAAGAGGGATGTCACAGAGAAGTTCAGTGACACTGAGGGCAATACAGAACTGAGCCCCATTCCAGATACACTTGGAAGTTGGAGCGTTGTTCCCAGCCTCTCTTTTTTAGGTGTTCCTGCATTGCAGACCCCTCCCTGTTATCTCACATATAGATTCTTATTATTATAGCCACCCTAACTCCTCCCACAGTTCTTACACTACAGAAGCCACAGTAATATACCGAAACGTGCGGATTGTTCCCGATTGGTGGGCTATCACTTTGTGGAACGTTTCGCCGAATGGTTCACGGAAATATCGCAGGTTTTTGTGGTGAAAATTGGTCCCATAGGAAGCATGAATGGCGCAAACTAGAGGTGGGCGCTGACAAAGATAGAGTGTGACTGAAAAATCAGAACATGATTTTGTAAACGCCATCACTCCCTCATTTTCAAGCCACCTACACATATCTTATATCAAATATCGTTCAAGCTATCCCTGCTGTCACTAACAAATGTCCCATCCAGCTAAGCCAATATCCCTGATAGTTTTCACATATGACCATTTGTTTGCAACTCACGCCGCCCGATTGACATTCATTGAAACTCCACTCAAGACAACCTGTAATTTGAGAAGTGAAATTTTTAAATCTGCGGACGTGTGCCCTTGCATATTTTCAAATATTTCAGAGGACATACCCATGCATCAAAATGTAGGTCTGGTTCTTGTTGATATCTCACCATAGTAGAAGCGCTATCGTGCTGTAAGGATTTATAGTTCTCCAAAAACGACAGACCGTTTGAAATTATGTCAACCGCCAGTTGAAGTGAGCAAGTTGGAGCAGTTTGTTTTATAACCATGCCTCTCCGTAGAGTGAGTTGCCATTAGAAACCCAGGGCTGCTCCGCGTCGAGCAGTGCAGCAGAGTGACACAATGAGCGACTCCGCTCTCAGGAGACTCCGCCTCTTTTCCAGTATGTTAGACTACTGGTGGGAGAGGACAAGATCACTTCACACAATTTCCCCAGAAATTGTAGATTTTCTTAGTTATTATTATTATTAGCTACAAGGATTTTAAATAGCGCCGAATAGTTGTGCTCATCGCATGTACATTATAATGGAGACAGTAACACAAGGACAGTCTTAGTATCAATACATTTCAATACTACGAGGGGTTCGAGGGCCCTGCTCCTTGGAGTCTTACTATCTAGGAGGGAGTGGATAGTTGGTAAACAGGACAGGGAAATAGCTGTGTGGGAGGATGGGTGGTAGGAGGAGTGGAGATCGGCAATTAGCTTGAGGGCGGGGTAGACTCTCCATGAAGAGATGGGTTATCAGGGTGCGCTCTAAAGGTGAGGAGGAGTAGGTGGATAGCCTGATGGGCTTGGGAATTTGGAGGTTCCAGAGGATGGGGGAAGGCCCTGGAGACGTCCTGGGAGACTGGCATGGAGGAGGTAGACCAGGGAACTACCGAAAGTAGGAGGTCTTGTGAGGGAGCGGAGAGTACGTTTAGGGTGGTGAATTTGGATATCAGATCGGTGATGTAGTTTGGGCCGAGTGTTGGGTGTGAACAGCTTTGTACATCACTGTTAGCAATGTCTGCATTTTAATCCGTTTGGGCAATTTGGAAGCCAGTGGAGGGAGAGGGATTGGCAGAGCGGGGGTCGGCGGCTTACGGAGCGCGGATGGTAAGGTTGAGGAGTACAGGTCTGCAATTATTCAGGGATTATAAATTGAAGCTGGGGATAGCCATGCTGTGAAGGTAAGCCGGTGAGGAAGGGGAGTTACAGTATCCAAGTGTGTGATTATTAATTAAGGGAGTGAATGAGGTTGTTTTAGTGAGATCCGGGGTAGGAATCACGCGGTCGTATTTTGGAGATGACGGTGGGAGTGCAGGTCTACATGAGTTTCGTCAGCGATTGGACCTGGGGATGAGAAAGTCAGATTGGAGTCGTAGGAGGACACCTAGTACTCCTGGCTATTGCGGGGTGGGACTGATGTGGAGTTGTTGGTCGTGATGGAGAAGTCGGGGGGGGGCCGCACGGCTGAGGGGGAAACTAGAAACTAGGAGCTTGGTTTTTGGAAATGATTTAGTTTGAGGAAGTGGAGTGACATCCACTCCGATATGTGTTTAGTAGCCTTGTGATACGGGGGGACTTGAAGGGGTGAGACAAGGGTAGAGAGATAGATGTTGCGTTGTCATCGGCATAGAGATGTAGTTGAATTCGTTGGGAGTGTATCAGTTGTCCAATGGGAGGAGTGTGTAGATGGAGAAGAGAAGGGGCCTGAGGACAGAACCATTGGGGACCCCTACAGAGAGGGAGAGTGAAGGGGAGGTGGCACGTTATAGGTAACACTGAATGGAGCGCTGTGATAGATAGGAAAAGAGAGCGGAGTTGCCAATGAATCCATATTCACGAAACACTACAGCATGAGTGGAAAAAGGTGCACATTATAGAATCATATGACAAGGACTGTAGATCAGTCAAAAAACATGTTGGGGGATTGTAGACTGTGGCTTTGTATGTGTTTATAAAAAACATACTTGTAGCTAAATTAAGTGGACTTGCTCTATTTTGATCCAAAAGAACAAAACGAAAACCAGCGCTCAAATATTCATGCAGACTAAGGAGATTCTGAATGCCAAAACGTTAGGTGCAGCCCTTTAGAGATCGGGAAATCTAGTGTATGGTGCACAAAAACAAACAAGGGCGCACTCCCATCGTGTATTAACGTGGTACACCACGTATTTATTGAAAAATTATAAATACTCACAAACCAAAAGGGATAAAAACAGAGCTCTGAGGAAGGGGTTCGTCTCCTGAAACGCGTTGCCTATTCCCCTACAAGGTGTTTGAAATCCATTGGACTGTCCTTACGGATCACCTGTTCTGTTTTTATCCCTTTTGGTTTGTGAGTAATTATAATTTTTCAATAAATACGTGGTGTACCATGTTAATGCACGATGGGAGTGCGCCCTTGTTTGTTTTTGTTCACCATACTCTATTTTGATACCTTCCTTTGTGCTTTTTTTTTATTTAATAGTAAAGGGCTTACGGTAGAAGAATTTTCTTGAATATTATTCCATATAGCTTTGCCTCCCATTATAATTGTCAGTTGTGTTGTAAGCTCAAGAAGACATCCACCGGGATCACACTGTAAACAAGAAAGTCAAGAAACATAATTTTAAAAAAAAAAATTATTGGTAGTTTTTCTGATTTTGAACAGTTACTGAGAGAAAAAAATTAACTGATGCATTAAAAAACTCTGTAAAATCATTGAAGGGAGTTAGCTTACCCTCTTCATTACGGTATCTCCAAACCAATACACTGGATCTCCAGGGTAGCCTACTACAATTTTCCCCTTAAAGAACGCAATGTAGAAACAAGAAGAGTAGTAGTTGACAAACGGGAATAGAAACATCTTGGTGGTAAGGCTGTTTTCATATTCTGTCTTTGTCCTTGGAAGTTCTTAAAAAGGAAATAGCAGATCAGAAGATCACTGGAGTCAAGCATGAACAATCTGTTATTATGCGAACTTAACTACCCCTGCCTGATAAATGGCTCAGATTTTTAACCTGTCACTTCTTGCCTGCTCAGCTATCTAAAACCCCTTAAATGCCCTTATTAGCAATTAAATAGCTCTGATTCTAAGCTTAAAAAAATGCAGACCAGAGAGTTCACGGTTTTACGCACTATACTCTCTTTGAGCCTCTCTTGCAACCACTGGGCATGAGATTAAGGGCTGCATAGCACAAAATTATGAGAAAGCAAACACTCTGAGAAACTTGCTAAATCTTCCTACATTGTATAGTATGAAACTTAAACTGAAAAAAATGGCAATAGAAAAGGAATTGCTCACTTTTTTTATGTATAGCATTAACAATTCAGTGATGTATGTTATCTGCTCCCAGGAGCTAAATAACTACCTCTCACGTTGTATACCTAAAATGTAATACAGGTGGCACAATTTCCAATATTGCATTAAACAGTCAGTTTGCTCAAAAGTGAAATTTAAGTCATATTTAGGGTTAATTGAGGTGGGTTAGCCACTGGATGCTTATAAATCTTGAGTATTCAAACGTGTGTTTTGAATAGTCCTGATGGAGGTAAATCCTGCATAATTAAATGGCACATTTCTTATTAAAATCAACAGATAGTTAATAGACTGGTTGTATAGACTCAGGGAACATAGCCCTGAAATGAAACAGTTAGAAGGGTAACTCCTCATCCCAAGCTAAACCTTGACCAACAGAGCCAAATTGAAACTTATTGTTTGTATTATTTGTTTCAATACATAATTGGTATAAAAGAAGAAGTTCATCCTCTATTGGCTTTTTATTCATACAAAAAAAGGGGTTGTGATTCTCACCAAAATCTGTGATCATTATTGCCACCTTCTCGTAGAGTATATTCAGCAACATGATAATGATGAAGCTGATGATTGATGCTGTGATAGTGGTGGCTGCCTGTGGAGTCAGGTATTTCTGGATAGCTTCTTTTCCACTGATTTGTCTTGGTAAGGTTGCAGAAAATACCAGGAAAACAGAAAGTCGATACACAATAATTCCAACTACTGATGCAACGATCAACATAATCTGTGAAAATGCATACAAAGCATTATAGTAATAGTAGTTAATTTAGTATTTTAAATTACAGAGAATTAGACAATACTTCAAATTCTGGAAGGGCTCATGTTGATGGGCTTTTTGTTGGCTTTAAATGGGTTTTGCATTCCCACATGTGTCTATGGGAAAGCAAAACCTGCTTGAAGCAGGTTCCATGCATTGCAGGAGGAGGTAAACCGCAGACCTAACGCAACTGTCAGAAAATTCTGCATAATCTCAGAAGTGTCCCAAACCCATGCCAATGACACAGCCCCAAAGCCGATCAACAACAAGCCCAGTGAATTGAAAACTCACCAGAAATGATGGCTGCCACTACAACAGCATGCTTAAATATATGGGCGTTCATGCTGTTGTAGTGGCAGCCATAATTTCTGGTGAGTTTTCAATTCACTGGGAGATGGTGATGGCATATATACAGTGGAGTTGCTTTACTACAAGCAAGAGTACTTTTATGGTGGTGGATGGACATTACTTCAACATTGTTTTATATAATTCTATTTTGGTTTGCACCATTTGTTCTCATGGACATTCATTTGTTATTTTGTACTATATAATTTTTTTTTATATGTTTTTAATCATTTCACTATATGTTAAGCGCTGCAGTTTACATTTTCAGTTATTATATAGGTTCTTATACTACCTATTTGAGTCAGCTGCTTTGTATTACCAGTCAGAGATGATATTGTTCATTTTATCTTGTAAAATACATAAGACAAAGTCAACCTCAAAAAGCTGTGTAAGAAGATTATTACCCAGAAAAACACAGCACTTGTACAGAAGGCCATCCTCAGACACTTTCCACAGGTTGTGTAAGGCACATGTTCTTCTTGCTAAATATAGGTGAAGAATAAAAAATAAAAATTATAAATAAAAACATCTTTTCAGGAAGCAGAATTACAGCAGTAAATATACAACACAATTTACCTGATTAATTGGATTCACAACTACGTGAGTACATTTTGCTTCATATTCAGGACGAGGCTGTTCTTCTTGTTCTAAAAACTCAACTGTGTCCCATTCATACTCAAGCTCAGCTTGTCTGCGCTTCCAAAACTCAAGGAATAAGGTAACTGTAAACACCAGAACACACAATGATGACATGATACTTCTCTTAAATCCAATTTTCCAGGTTACCATTCACCTTGAAACATATGAGCATTTTTTTAATCATGCTAGGTCTTTACTATATACAGTCATGGTCAAAAATATTGGCACCTCTGAATTTTCTGTCAGATAATGCACCACTTTGCCCATACAATGGTTGCAATTACAGATGTTTAGGCATTCTCATGTTTATTTCTTTTGTTTGTATTGGTATGATACAAAAAATGGAGAAACAAAAAGCCAAATCTGACACATTCCACGCAAAACTCCAAAAATGGACTGGACAAAATTACTGGCACCGTCTCAAAAATGTAAGAAATAATTGCATTTCAAGTTGTGATGCTCCTGTAATTTGTAATCAAACTCACCTGTATCAATTAAAAGGTGCTGACAATATAGGAATCACACCAGCAACCAGTTAAACTAGTAAAAAATTGACTCGACCTTTCTGTTGTGTGTCTCTGTGTGTCACATGGAGCACGCAGAAGAGAAAGAGCGGCAATGAAGTGTCTTAAGGATTTGAGAACAAAAATTGTTGAAAAGCATGGACAATCTCAAGGTTACAAGTCCATCTCCAGAGAGCTTAATGTTCCTGTGTCCACTGTGCGCAACATTGTCAAGAAGTTTACAGTCCATGGCACTGTAGCAAATCACCCTGGAAGAGAAAAATCAAAGATTGCAACAAAGGGATTGTCTGAATGGTGGCTAAAGAACCTTGATTAACTTCCAGGCAAATTAAAACTGACCTTCAGGCACAGGGTAGAACGGTGTCAGCTTGCACTATACGTCACCATCTGAATGAAAAGGGACGCTATGGTAGGAGACTCAGGAGGACCCCACTTGCTGACACAGAAGCATAAAAAAGCCAGATTGGAGTTTGCCAAAGCTTACCTGAGGAAGCCAAAATCCTTTTGGGAGAATGTGCTGTGGACAGACGAAACAAAATTACAGCTTTTTGGTAAAGCCCATCATTCTAATGGTTTCAGAAAAAGAAATGAGGCCTTTAAATTAAACAATACAGTCCCTACAGTCAAACATGGTGGAGGTTCACTAATGTTTTAGGGTTGCTTTACTGCTCCAGGCACTGGATGTCTTGACCGTGTGAATGGCATTATGAAATCTGAGGACTACCAAAAGAATTCTGGGGTGCAATGTAGGGCCCATTGTCAGAAAGTTAGGTCTCCATCAGAAGTCATGGGTCTTACAGCAGGACCCAAAGCACGCATGAAAAAAGCACCCAGAAATGGTTTCAGGCAAAGCGCTGGAGAGTACTATACTGGCCAGCAGTGAGTCCAGATCTCAATCCCATAGAGCACCTGTGGAGAGATCTCAAAACAGCACTTGGGAAAAGGAACCCTTTCAAACATAAGAGACCTGGAGCAGTTGGCGAAAGAAGAGTGGTCCAAAATTCCAGTAGAGAGGTATAAGAAACTCAATGATGGTTACAGGAAGCGATTTATTTCAGTTATTTTATCCAAGGTGTTTTTAACCAAATATTAAATTGAGGGTGCCAATAATTTTGTCCAGTACATTTTTGGGGTTTTGCGTGGAATGTGTCCGATTTGGCTTTTTGTTTCTCCACTTTCTTGTGTCATACCAATACAAACAAAAGAAATAAACATGAGAATGAGTAGACATTTGTAATTGCAACAATTTCGTGGACAAAGTGGTGCATTATCTGACAGAAATGCAGGGGTGCCAATATTTTGGCCATGGCTGTACAATCAAATGGAGCAAGTTTTTACATTCAATCTTAAAGAGATGTCATGAAAGGTCCCACAAGTTCAAAGCCTAGTCTGATTATTTTAAAACCATCTGCAAACATACAAGAAGCTCTGTGTTCAGAGAGAATAAAGTTGTATCATAGCTGATAGAGTCATATCATCCCACAATCCCATACTTCGACAGGTAGCTTATAAGTAGCTTCCAGAGATAAAATTTGGAGGAGCTCATCTAATGTGATGCTGGAAAGAACTTTCCTGGTCTTTGTCTGTGAATCTGTTGTATTTTGCAGCAAACAGAAAATGGTCAGGCATATAAATTATTGAACATTCCAAGATATTAACTTTAAAAGTAAAGGTGGCATTGAAGACTGCAGTGGTAAGGATTTATAACCCCAGTCGAAGGTCCAGAGGAAGGGGTTAGTCTGTCAGCAAGAGTATGGAGGAACCAAGAGAATTGTATTTAGGGTTAAGCAGTAAGATGAAGTAATAGGACATGTCAAAGGTGCTGATAAAGAGTTTGAAATTCAGATGTTGGCCTATTGACTTAAATTTTCTATTGAGCATGTATTTCATATTTTTTCTCCTAATTTTTCCTTGTGTAATTTACATTTTTTGTATGGACGGCATTATTAGTTAGAATGGAAGGGAAGCAAAAGTACACGTTGGGAAAAAGGTGGGAATTCACTCCTGAGTACAGGGGTGTCGGAGCATATTTATTTTTGTTACAAAGGTTTTGCTTATCCTTCAAGTCTGTCCAAAGTTTAAAATGTCATTTTTGGTGAATGCTGGTAACCTGGCATTTCATATATTTCTGGGAATTAAGCAGACAGGTTTTCCTGGTCCTAGCTCTTTTATGTCTCACCTAGTTTTAGGGTACAAATGGTTGCTATGAGGGCTTTCTTTTCCTCACAGAATAGGTGCAGGCATTCCCCCCTTCTGAGTCACCCATTGTTTCTGCCCCCCACCCACCTCCAAGCACCATCCCTTGGTTCCACCCCCTACCCACCTCCCACTACCATTTATTTTAGAGAAAACAGAGCCAAGTATCATTTTGTATGGAATTTGTTAATGATAACAAGAAAAGCAGTAAAATAAATCCCCTGCAGCCAGCAACAATGACCCCACTCCCAGCAACAATGGACCCCCATAATAAATTACCAGCCCAGCAGCAACATCAGATCTCCAATCAGCAAACAATAGACCCCTCCATTAACAGCAGATCCCTTCCAGCAACATTTGACCTCCCAGAAACAATAGATCCCTCTCCAGCAACGATAGACCCCCCCAGCAGCCCTTGCCATAACCAATTCAGTGTTAGAGGTGCTGGAACTGCATTCCCCCGCATTCCCGCCTAAAAAATGCCCTGGTTGCTATAATCCCTTAATAATTTCTTCACCAGACAGTCCAGTTGAAGGAGTGTTTCTGAAGTGGGTCATTTGGTCTATTGGGAATGTAAAAAGCATGCTAACTAACTGAAACTGCACTATACATGCAGGGGAAAGAAACGTGTTCACTGTGAGACCCCATTATACTTACTGTAATATCACTCCTCTGCTGCTATAATCAGCCAATGGGAGCATAGAAAAATGCTCTGTACTTCCAGGTATAGGTAGCTATATTACTCACTTAGAACTTCCTCTCTGCTTCCAGAAACTGAGCAGAGTGTTCGGGGAGTGAGGGAAACATTGGATAAACATTTGATGGAGTTGCCTTCAAACTTATTGCTTTGTCCTGCAAGGTATTTAATGTGTGCCAAAAAATACAGTGATCACAGGTAGGATATTTGCCTACAATTTTACCAATGAATATAACAAACCATATCTCAAGGGTAACAGAAAAAACAAGCATGCAAAATCATGTCTTCCCATAAAATGGCTACAACACAGGTACATCTCTTGGGTTTTGTGCATCAATAATCAAACCATTTTTCCAATGAACACACAATATACAGTTCCAGTAGGGAAAATATTATGAAGCCATCTTACCCCATATTCCCATAAAGACTGCAAATATGAGTGTGCCAAAACTGTCAAATATACAAAGCGTCTGTAAAAGATAACACAAAACAAAGGTCAACATAGTTTGTGTTCACAAATTGCAATTTCAAGTGTTTTAAACACTATAACATTTAAAAAGCAAGAAAACAATAACAGGAAAAGATGGCAAGATTAGCAGGATTTAAACCCAGAACAAAAGTTTACCACTTCCACACCTACAAACCGTTCCTACCTAAAAAAGAACTCCAAACAATTTACTTGTTTTAGGATTAGAATCTTGGAAGGTGGCTTAGCTGTCTTGGAAGGTTTATCACCACTCTTTGTTCCAATGACAAAGAGTAAAGAAATTTCCCCATTGGAGATGAAACAAAAACCAGATAGAGGATCTAACCCATAACCACTCTACCAATACAAAATGATGTTTCCCAATTAGTGAAAATCTCATCACATTCTCCCCGCGGTAACAGGAAATATCCCCAATAAGGCAGTGATTTGAGCCTTAAATTATTTCTAACTATTCTTTACGCTTTCAAAAAAAAAAAAAAAAAAAAAAACTTGACTGGAATTATTATTACAAAAAACACTAACACCGAGAGAAGGTTCCCTCTGGGCCTTACCAGTTCACTGCTTCTGTGATCTTTCTAACTGCCCTGGCAGAGCAATCAAACTGGTGTTCCTGCCTCACACAGATACTGCTCATGGCCTGTGGGAGTCTGTTGTCATTAGCGGCTAAGTATTTAAAGTTCAGTGTGTTATTTCCTTTGGATGCTTTACAGCAACTTCAGATCCTCCAAGACTGAAGAGGCCACAAGTCGCATCTAATTCTCACCAGGTCCTCAAAAGCTTAAGTACTGCAGCTTGCCTTCATGTGCTTGAAGCCCCTTTCACATGGGCGCCCCCAATTTCATCTCAGTAGACTGCTACCCTGCTGTGTTGATCTGATTTTATCTCCAACTGTGATGGAGGAAAAAAAAGACCTCTAATTCCTATGGATGGCCAGATCTAAGCAAATGTGCTTCTGTCTATATCAGTCTATATCTGCCTACATCAAATCGGGTTAGTAAGAGTGAACCTAGACGCAAACTTGTTGCATTTGGTTCTGAATGGACCCAGATGTGGGTGAATGTACAGGGGAGTGTCCAGGATGGCCCATGTGACCTTTGGTTTAACCAATAGTGAGCATATAAAAGAGGGAGCAGACATGTGGTCAGTTGGCTCTGAGGAAGAGGCAAGTCCTCGAAACGCGTCAGCCTTTTGGATGTCTAAACTCCCTATTGCGGACTGTTACTCAGCGCGGTGTTGACCCAGCTGTTCTTTTATGATGTGCCTTGACTATATTGTCGTTTGTGAGTACAACACCTACTTTATTTTTTATTAAACATTTTTTATGGTAATGCACTAGGCCTGTGCGCCCCCTCTCTTTGTTCTTTCCCCATTGCACATCTGCTTATACCTGGCCACCCATAGGGATACAGTGCATCAGTTTTAGATCCATATAATTGCAAATCAAAAAAACTACGCTCATGTAAAAGGGGCCTTAGAAAATTTCTCAGTATGATCCATCATTAAAATTGGATGAGATCCTAAGCATGGACATAGATGGCTCAAATTGCGACCAATTCCTACTGAATTGAGGTACATTTCTAGCAAACAGCGAAGTAGTTAATATTAACATTCTAAAACCTGCTAGATGAAAGGACAATTTTAATAAACTCTTAGTTTTAACAATACTAGTGACTGATAGGAACCCTACATATATCTACACTAAAGACTAAACATCATCATAAAAGATATACAAAAAGCGCACTCTGCTTTTTTTAACTTTTGCAATATTACCTTTGATGAACTACAGGTGATATTAAGGTACCAGTATGTACACTCTTTGTCACACTGCGGACACATAATGATGTTTCCTCCAATGTTTGGGTCACACACTTCTTTGCTGAAAGAGAATTTCTGTTTTAGAGGATTAAAAGACACAAAGGACCAGTGTGTTTATGAAATGTAGGCCCTTCGTACGTAATAAAAAGATTAGAAACTAAAGCTCAGTACACATGACCAGAAAACCCAGACAAAAAAAAAATACAGTTTTCGAAGCGATCGTTTGTTAGTACACAGCTTTCATCCGAAATTATTTGAGGGACAAATTTCCTTGTACGATACCGATTCGTACAATTTTCATTTAATCAGTACAGTATTCGTCCGGAAAAAAAATTTAAAAAAAAAATCGGAAGAGCAAGACCACGCATGCTCAGAAACGAAAGAATACATCACAATACAACACATTACATCACTTCCAAAGTTGCATTCTGTACGGGAATTTTTGTAACTATAGTAACACTTCATTTTCGATAGGAGAATAGCATGCAAAAAAACAAAAAACAAAACAAAAACAAAAAAAAAACAGGATGACCATTTGTCTAATATTCTCATCTTGTGTACCAGGCTTAAAGCAGACAACCATGCAGCTGTCCATAATAACCAAATTCAAATCAATATTATGAGTACAAATGAAAGAATGTTAAAAAAATCATTGCTGGGTGCAATGGCAGCATCCCAATTTCTTTTTCTTGGATTTTCATTTTAGTCTCAAACTTTTATTACCAAATAGCCAATTAACCGATAGGTAAATTGACATATAGTTTATAATGTGTGCTTTCACCTTGCATACCATGCAGATGCATTCCAAGAGGTATGGGAAATAAGCACTATCAGCATTTACACCAATACAAGTTAGAAGCAACTGAAAGCTGGAACAGCTAAAACAGTTGAATATTCTAAAAGGGAAATTTTGGTTTACCAACTGTTAGTACACATTTCACAAAAGCAAGCTTCCTGTGCTTGTTCTCCATTTTGGTTATTATATTTTTATATATGGATGATTAAAATCTCACTCTAGTGGTCATTGGTATATCAGAGAATGTGAACGCTATTCTCTGCTTAGCGACTGCTTAGATAGGCCTTGCTCATTACAGACAATATCATTTTTTTAGCTAGTTAAGACCAAGCCCATACACTTTCACTGAGAGAGAAACAGTAAAACACAGTCTCAGGCAGAGCCTGCATATGTAATAGGTAGATATGGATGCCCACATGTGGCCATAGCGATCCTCCCCCTGGCTCAGGCTCTCAGCTGGCTGAGAAGTTGAGCCAGGTGCAGGTTCAGGCTCCTGGGTGGATCCTGACCATATGGCAGACTTTAACCTGCTGTTAGGTGAAATCGAGTCACAAGAGTGCAGAACGAACTGCACTCCTGTGATCCACAGAAGTACAGCCAAACGAGCTTTGGCTGTACTTCTCCTTTAAAGTAAACTTATATAAATGTAAAATTTATATAATATTTTCCACAGTGTATTTCCATCATACACTTATTAATCCTGTGGTTTTGAAAACATAATTTTTCCCGCACAACTACTTTCTACAATGCAGTGATCCTATGAGTAGGCACTGCTGTGTCACACATTTCACAGAGTCTGCCTTATGAACTACAGCAATGCTGAGAGGGGGATTTTCAGGTGGCGGAGTCAGTACAGGAATCACTGATTGAAGGCAGCAAGGTACCATGGGATATGTAGTCCTTAGGAATCAGTAAAGTAAATCAAAGGAATTAGCAGAGAAGCTGCAAAGTATGCAGGGAATCCAGGAAGTTTTGGAAAGAGATGGCCAGCAGACAGGCAGCAATAATAACATGAAAGGAGGTTTTCCAGATAAGCTTATATTGGATTGTTAAAAATAACTATTGCTTGTATTTCCATTATGACGTTGATATTATAAAATGAAGCGTACACTATGACTTTAGATCTTGTTTAAGGGTATGTGTCCTGCTTACCTCCATGTACAGGATTCCTGAGATTTATAGCCATACAAGAAACATGCAAGTCCAACTACTGCTGCCAGCAGCAACATGCGGGTGTAGAAACCCAGCCAGGCAAAATAGATTCCAATTTTTTCACCATAGTATTTTCTGTAGAATGAAAAAAAATGGATACATAACTTTTCACTATGTACCATGCTGTACTCATATTCAAGAAGACAATGATCCTGAGCTCATAAAAAATAAATAATTTGCTAGCAAGCAGAGCCTTTTTTGCTAGCTGATGTTTAGGTGTGATAATGCTGGACTAACAGGGGTGAGGTATTGATATTACTCCTCAAGAGGGAGATGTGTGGTGAACGTGCCATGTAGGTGGATCTCACTCTGGTTTTGGGCTGCCGTCTCTCAGATGGATCCCAAAACTCTAGGGTGGGTATTGAGGTATTAAGTGCTCAGTACAAATGTTCATGACAAAAAAGATCAAATCAAAGTATTTATTGAACAGAGGTATGAAAGGAAGCCAACACATTTTGTAGGAAATGCCTCCCCTTCCCCAGGGCTGAAACTGTGGGTATGAATGGACAATGAGGTACAATTATGACATTTGTAATCTATGCCATCAGCTTGCAGTATATCCAGGATTAACACTTTGGATTAAGCCCTTACACAAGTTTACTAAATGTACCTCATCATAAATCCATTTATACCCAAGGTTCCAGCACAGAGGAAGAAGGGGGCATTTGCTTTGAAACGAATTGGCTTTGTTTGATACCTCTCTTTAATAAGTACTTCGATTTGTTCTTTTTGTGTCATAAACCTTTATAATGTGTGCCCCTCAATACCCACCCTGGAGTTTTTTTTTTTTTTTGCAGGAAATTCATTATATTTTTTACTGTCAAAAAACCAACAAAAATTAAATTTTCCTTTTTCCTAGCAATTTTCTTTGCTTTATTTATTTATTCTTTGTGTCTGCTGCACCTGTAAGATACAGAAGAGAGGAGCCCAGCACTGGGATGGCTGCATCATCACTGACCTCCCGTTGGCCAAATAAGACACTGACTGTGGAAATAGCTAGAACACCACAAACAGAGGTAAATTTGCCATAATCTGCTAGTATGGTGTGCATACTTGCACATCATCACAAGTGCTCCAACCAGAATTCAGTTCCCCTTTAAGTACCTCAATGAACACAGAAGAGCCCAATCCAGCATTATACTGGGCAAAATACTAGGTTCAATATATTGTATACTCCTTAATTACTTTATTCTTTCGCTGTCCAGTCTTGGAATTATTTGGTACTTCCAGATATTAGGACATATGTCCTCCGATTTACCGCAATCTCCCCTCCCCCATCACAATATAATGTTTATTATCTGAATTAGCGGTCTCAATTGTTAGCACGAAAAGGGAGGGCTTGCAAAGTCCCTATGTAAGTATAAACTTTGGTTAACAAGTCACAGCTTATAATGGATTCTCAGGTGGACTGGCAGCAAGTAGGGTGCAGAGCACAGGTGGAAAATAGTTACATGTCCGTACATTCATCTCTGAAAGTACAGGGCTCTAAAAGTGGGTACCACTCAGTGTTCTACTCCATCCAGCAACAGCCTGCAATAGACTTTGACAGGCTGCAGGGCCGGATGCTGCACCTGTACCTTTCTGATATATCACCAGGAAGGACACACTGCACCTAGACAGCCCTGTGTGCAAGAAGCCTTACCTGGCAAAAAAGACAACTGCAAGCAATTTATTACTTCGTAAGTTCTAACTCAAGAACAATATACATTTTTTGTGTAAATTGCATAACAGCCACACTTCTACCAGAGTGTTTAAAGAGTCACATCTCTAATCACTGTGGAATGTTTCATCAGAAGGCTTCAAGAGTGGTTTAGAGAAGGAACACAAGGTTATTAGAACACCACAATTTTCATTTTAATATATTTTTTTTTTTAATCAGCAATTACATTTTGCATTTATAATGTACCAAAGTGACTTATAAATTTAGTTTTTTTTATTTTTGTTAATTTTAAGATAAATTTGTTGTAACTGATAATTTTAAAGAAAATCTGTCAAGGAAGAAAGAAATACGGGAGGTGCAAACGTAGTAAAACCAAAAATGTTCAGCAGGAACCAGCCGAATTTTGATCCATCTATGGGCAGGCTAGTAGTACCGAAGTTGATCTATTGTTCGACTTCAGTACATCCAGCTGTCTTTTTTTTTTATGAATGATCACTGCCACTGGCTAAAGCCAGTAGCAATGATCATTGTTTTCTGGTGGTGGGGAAACAGCGCAGTGGGAGGGATTCCCCCACCAACACAACCAATAAATTTTCTTTCCTTCAACCCGTGGTTGAAGAAAAGAAATCTGCATAATGTATGGCTGCTTTAAGGAGTAGAGGAACAAGCAGTATTACTTACTCTAACCCTTATGCAGGCCATAGACGGGACCTTTATTGGCCGAAATTTCGTCTGCACGAAAAATCGGCCGATATTCACGCCGTTAGTGGGGCCAGCCCGTTGGCCGTTTTTTTTTCGCGAATCTTCTCATTTATTTTTATCGGTCATGCTGGAAAATCCATGAAGAACGGCCGTTTTTCGTGGACATTGATGGCAGCATCGGCAACGGGGCCGACCGATTTTTCATTTATCAGCCGACAATTCGGCCGATAAACGGCCCGTCTATGGCCTGCATAAATCTGCTTGCTGCGGGTACAGCTCTCTCCTCCCCAAATCTCTGACTATGAATAATCACATACAATACAGGGCTATTAACCCTGCATTGTACATTCAGGGGTGAGCGTGCGACCACAAGCAGCTTAGAGAGGAGGCTGCATGGGTCCCTTTGCACTGCTGAAGCACAGAAATAGATAAGTATTTCTCCTTATTCCGGCACCCCTAGACATAATGAACATTTCCCCTGCAGGGCAGAAAGTGGGGGCACTGCTGTAAAAATAGATTTTTCTTAGAATTACCAGAGGTGGGCTTTAAGTGATATAAATATGGTTTGTTTGCACTGGCAAATTAACCCTTTGATATGAGCGCAGTAAAAGGAGGGCAAGTTGTAGCTTAACAATAGAAAATAAAATACATTTTAGTGAGAAAAATATGAAACATATGCCCAAGATCTAACAATACAGTGTAAAAAGCATTTGCCTGTTTTCCATACCTTACAAGATCTAAAGGCTGCAGCTTGTAAAAGCTAAGAGGGTGGGCCCATTCTCTATACAGTAGGTATCTTTCATTAGGAGATCTTGCATCCTCTGACTTGACATTAAATCTACACTGCAGAATACACACAAAATGTTCTAAGCAAACAAAAAACAGGACAGGTAAAAAAAGGGACAATTTGGGAGACAGGTAAATGTAAAGTACAACAGCTGTAAGCCAATATTAAGTTGAGTGTCAAATAGTCAAACAGTTAAATACACGGGTAAAATACATAATATATACAATGTCTTACCTGTTTAAATATTAGTAATTTTGTTTAGGCACTCTTATGATCAAGCACCTCTGCAACACATCCTAACTAATGTAGGCTGGCGATTTCCACTAAATTTAAACAGTACTACACAGTGACTTTGTGGTTAGCGCTCCTGCTTTGCAGCACTGCAATCCTTGGTTCAAAACTCTGTATGAAGTTTTTCCTGTGCTTGCAGGGGTTTCCTCCCACACTCCAATAAATTGGCTGCTGTCTAAATTGGCCCTAGTATGTGTATGCATGCGAGATAGGGACCTTAGATTGTAAGCTCTTTGAAGGCAAGAACTCTTTTGAATGTACAGCATGTAAAGCATTGTGTGAATTATCGCCACTTTATAAAATGTATATGTTCTCAGCCTGACTGGACAATGCATAAGCCACAGCAAATTGATGAGGTCATCTGTGTGCTCTCCCCTCTTGTACACATATCCAGAAAGAGAGATTGACCGAATCGTTCAAAGCAACAGGATCTGATTGGTTCTTCGTGTAGCTGGGCAGTCAATCCTTTCGCCTCCCCCCCCCCCTCATCTGCCTGCCCTCTCCACCAGATTACTGTGTCAGCTGGCTGTACTATAACAAAAGAAAAGTTCGGTGTGTGAACCAATCAGCAGTAAGGAGGAGAGAACCAGATGTTTCCAGAAAAATGGATTCTCCTAAGCATTTGACAGAGAGAGAGTGATGTGACAGGATCATGTCAAGGACTCTCCATCTAAGAGAGCCTTAGGTGGTCAGTGGAGCCTACAGTCATGTGAGGGACAGCCAGAGGGTACAGAACGTAACCAGAGCACTGAAGAAGCTACCTACCAGAGTCGTCACGGGCAACCCAGAGTGAGCAGATACCAGACTGGAGAGACCACTACTGCTGTGTCACTGGGTCTGGTGAGAAGGCCTTGTAGCCACTACTTGTTACCACTGTTGGAAACGGAACCATTAGGAACTACCTACCAGCACCCCACATCCCTTACATGGACTGCAGGCCTAATTGATGGCCTTTACACGTGCCAACAGACCCTGATGTTTAACCGAAGAGTCAGGACTAAAGACTGCCCATAACAGTTGCTGGCCCTGAGGTCTTTTTTTTTTCTTTAAAAGAGGTACCTCCTAAGAGACACTGTATCCCAGCCAATCCCTTAGAGCGCACTCTAACGTAGCATAGTGTTATCATCTATACTGCATTTTATGTGTACTAACATTGTTTATTGCTGATTTACTAACTTACCCTTCTGATCCTAGTAAGGGGTATGCAATCTAATCTATATTGAACCATATCAATAGATATTCATTTACATTACAGATAGTGCATTTACCTCTAAATGGGTGTGTGTATTTACTGATAGTAGTATTTTAAACTTGTGTATTTATTCATGCTTGCAGTGATTTTTAGTCAACCAGGTGTGTCAGAATGGCAGAGTTTGTTCTTGGAGTCGAGGCACAGAACAGAGAAATCAAAGTTACCAAGTGGCTCCTTCAGGGGTGGCACTAAATAATCGGATAATGCTCCACCTTCCAGCATAATTTCTGCTTAAAAGGTCTGGTTCACACCAGATGCAGTCAAACGCGGTTTTAATCTGCAT